GCTTTTCACTACGTGCCACATTCACCCTTTAACACACATTCACTCAGTGATGGCAAAGCTCATCAAACGGAAACTATCTCATTCATACACATTCACACACAGATCCACAGCATCTAGAGCAATTCGGGGTTCAGTATCTTGCTCAAGGATACTTTGATGTGTGGCAGGAGGAGCCGGGGATCGAACTAACAACCTTCCGATTAGTGGACGACCCCAGTTCTTCTGAGCCACAGACGCCCTAAATTTTAGCCCCCGATCCGAAACACATCGTTTAATATTGAGTATCTGCTGATACAGAGTCCTGATCTAATACTCACTTAGATAATACAGTTGCACAGTGCACACTTAAAGTACATTTAAGTTATTAAAATGTACTGACAATTGAATAGAGAAAAAACATGTCTAAAAGTGAAGCTGTTCCTTGTTTTTAAAAAAAACAGTCTCTCCACCTTTTGTGTGGATTACATTAATTGATTACTCTTATTGGCTTTTTGTTCGTGGGGCTTTTATTGCACTTGCAGTGGCATGTTGACTTTGGTTGTGTCAGCTCTCTACTCTCTACTGCTGTCTCTGCTCCTCCCGCACCCCCTTTGTGAGTAAAAACAGCTGTGTGGCAACTGATGTAAAACAAAAGATCGGATACCAATCGCTGAGATCGGCTTGGGACAACCCAAATATAGTCACCTAAAAAAAAGAGTTGTTGTATTTTTGTTACCTTAGAATGAGCTGTTTTTATCTACAGAGGGAGCGGATCATCTTCTATGAGTCTGGCATGTTGAACTTGGCTCTAGATATGGCCATTTGCGTTTTTTGCAGCCACTGTAGTTTTTCCCTTGTGCCTGGAAATGGAGGGAATTACAATCTGCACCTTCATTGCTAGATGCCACTAAATCCTAGACACTGCACAAAACTTTTCAATTAATGTGACGTATGAGTGCGTATTTGCATTTAGAGAATAAAAACAGTGATTGAACGTAGGCTTTATCTGTATCAGTCTTGTTTAGCTTTAAGTTTGATGTGTGTGTGTGTGTGTCAGATGAGGATGCTGCCAGCAGTAAGAGCATGCCCCTGGTGCTGCGTGGGGAAGGAGGACCACATTACCCAGACTCCTACTGCTCCTACCTGCAGGACGGAGGAGGTCGCCTCAGCATTGCCTCCTCCCAGTGCAGCGCTCCTCCCTCTCTGGCTGTAGACATGGTGGATGCTGGGGTCACAGGGATCCCAGGGGGGCTGCAGCAGTACCGGGCCTCCATTAAACCCCTGATGGGCTATGGGGAGAGCATGGAGAACCAGACCCGCTCACTCCACAGGTACATGCACCGATATACCCCCAGTGACACAAACATGGAAACACAACCCTGTACAGCTGAGTTGGACTAAGAGACACCTCTCAGCTCTCCATACTGTTTGAAGGTGATTATTTCTGTAATTTCTGCTTCCTTGAAACACGTGCAGGAGGAGGTGACAGCAGAGATCAGGAAGTGAGAGGTTAACAGAGGTCATAAACCTGATTGAGCCTGTTACTATAGCAACTGCAGCATACAGTGACTATCCTGTCTGTACTAGGTCTGCAGGTTCAATAGGATGTTTTTTAATATTGTCTTTCTTTATTTAGACCTGGCCAATACGGATGGAACCAATATCAGGAGATCAATAAGAACATATTTATTCATAGTTCATAGTTATGTTATATATCACACAAAACTCACACACTCCAAAATTAAGATTAGATTATAACAAAAGTTTTAGTTATAATCCACAACTTTTTAGACCTGGTTAATGTGACGACCTGCGGTTACTATGGTAACAGTAAGTGCAGTTTATTACTACATTAAACAACTAAAGAAATCCAACTTTGCAAGTATCTCAAGTGTCCTGAGATAACTTATAGTATAGTGTTATGATTTGGCGCTATACACATACAGCTGAATTTAACTGAATTGTAGGAGAGTGAACAGCAAACAGTGAGGCTGATATCAATCAGATCAAATTACAAAAAGTAACACCGGATTACTGGATTGCTGCATCGTCTACTCTAAATGCCTTGTGTGTTTTAGGGTAATCTGAATGCAGTGAGGGTATGGCGGACCCTGCCACATTCTGTAATTACTGGCACTATACCTTCTAGAGAGGTCATCACAGAATGTAAATTGGCTAGTGCAAATGTTGAGAAAGAATGAACAAAAATATGATCAAAAATGGATGTTGATGTCATGCAAATCTTAAGGATTTTAACTTCTTTTACAATTTTACATATCTTCAAGGAGTTTGTTCTCATACTCCAGAAATCTCCACTTCAGTAGCAATGAAACCTTCCAGTTTTATTCTTATCAATATTCTGAAGGTTTTTACAGAGGGACTGCTCATATATCAATCAGCCTGATTTATTGTTTAATAATTTTTCATGGTTGTTAGCAGTATCTTCCAGTTAATGGAGTGATAAAAGGAGACATCCAAAATTTACTCTGTGAAAACCCTTGACTCTAATATGTCAACAACAACTATGTTTACATTTGTGTTTTGGAACTGGAAATTAGCATATTTTTAACAAACAAAGCCTAATTTGCATATTTAAACATACAATTTCGGAGAGAAAAATAAATAAAAAATGTCTTAATGTAAGTTATCAACTATGGAAGTTTAATGGTGATATATATTAGTATATCAGTATAAAATGGTGTTATGTATCTCCACTTAAGCAGTATATTAAAGGCAGACATAATGACTTGTTAAAGCAGGAAAACTAAAGATGGAATTAATAACATTAATGATGGCTGCATTTGATATAGGTAACCCAGTTCTAGGGTTCTGGTACTGGGAATGCTCTATGGGCTGATATTTGTGTCAGCTGTTTGTAGATCTGCTAGTGAGATACCGACATTTATAACACTTGGCAATATTAGACTTGG